GTCGGCGATGGACTGCACCTTCTCTGCCGTGCGGGCCAGATCCACCCGCAGATCTGCAGGGAAAGGCCGGGTTGGAGGGCTGAATGGTCCCTGCACCCCGCCCCGTGTCCCCAGAATTTTGCGGATGTCCCCACTCGGTGTGGCAGCGCCGCTCACCCTGGATGACCTGCGCCATCCTCTCCACGGCCAGCTCCGGGATGGAGTTGAAGGTGCCGTTGCCCTGCAGGGAAAGAGGGGGTGCTGAGCAGCTCAGCTGGAGCTGCCTGCCCGTGCAGGACCCCCCACGCTTCACCCCGACCCCCCAACCTGGCGAATCATCTCCGCAAAGTCGCTTCGGGGCAGGCCGGCCAGCGCCTTCAACACCTTCTCCACCGACGGCACCTTGGGGTGGAGAAAGCACCCCGTGAGCCCCGGGACAGCAGGTGGGGAGGTGACCAGGGGGACCAGGAGCCCGTGCCCACCTTGCCGTAGTCGGCGCCCAGCTGCAGGCCCTGTGCCCTGCCCAGGACGCTGGCGCAGGAGGTGCAGCGCGGGTCGTCCAGGAGCGCGAGCACGCGGCTCCTGCGCTCCCGCAGCGCCGGCTCCAGCTCGGCCCGCGCCGCCGCCAGCGCCCGCGCCGTCCTGTGCACAATCTGTAAATGGTGCAGCGAGGTCTGTAGGTCTTAAAGAGAAAGGCCAGGGCTAGGTCACGCTGCTCCGCTCGGAGGCCCGGCGAGGCGTCGGCCCCGCTGGCGGTGCCGGCGACAGCGGCGCTCTGGCCCTACCTCCGGCCCTGTCCTGCAGGTCGGCCAGCGCCGCGTAGGTCACGGCCTTGAGCTGCGCGTGGATGGAGAGCCCCACGCTCCTGCTGAGCCCTGCAAGGCACCGCGGCACCGTCAGCACCGGTTCCATCCCCGGGGGCAGCTCGGGGTGCTGCCCAGCGCCGCGCTTACCGCCCAGGTCGGAGATGATCTGCTTTCGGGGCACCTCAAACTTGTCCACCACCATCTGCACGCCCTGCCGGGACAGAGGAGCGGGTCAGCCGGGGGCAGCAGCCGCCGGGAGGGGAGGGAGCCCCGCGTTGCCGTTCGGAACACATTTTTAACGCCGCCACGTCATCTCCTCCTGCCTGCCAAGCCACCCCCGAGGGAAACGCGGCCATCCCTGCGGGGGCGAGGCCGCTCGGGGACCCACCTGGGGCACGTTGGCGAGGTGCTGCCGCAGCGTGCGCAGGGTGGAGGGCACGGCCCCCAGCCCCGGCTCCATCTGCCCCTTCACCCGCTGGCTGGTCACAAAGGCGCAGGTGACGCTGACCCTGCGGGCAACGAGCAGGCGGTGACGGCCCGGCCCGGCAGCACAGGGTCCCCCCCGCCCACCTCGAGGTTTGGGGGGTGATTTGGGGGACTCACAGGATGACGAGGGAGGTGAAGGACAGGCAGGCCAGCAGGCAGCGGCGGCGGCAGCCCAGCGAGCGCCGGTGGGCGCGGAGGCGGCCCCCGCAGCGCCGCCGGCTGCGGCAGTAGCAGAAGCACATCCCGGCCACGGGCACGGCCACGGTGAAGAGCAGAGCCACGGCGGCACAGACGACATAGCCCAGCTCGTACTGCACCACCTGCGCCACGGGAGAGCCTCATCTGCACCTCTGCACCGAGCCAGGGGGGCTGCAGGTGCCCTGTGCCAGGCGGAAAACATCCCCATGGCATCCCCTGCCCCACGGCCCGGCTCACCTGCGACGTCCGCACCGAGCCGGGGTCGTTCAGGGCTGTCCTGAGCAGCTCTGCGAAAAATAAATCATGGCACAGGCAGAGGAGGCCCCACCCTGTGCATCCCCAACCTTCCTGGGGCAGCAGCACCGGGACAGGGGCAGGACCCTCTTCTGAACCCCTGGGGACCCCTGGGGCCGTCCCAGGACAGAGGCAGGACCCTCTTGTGAGCCCCTGGGGACCCCTGGGCTGCTCTGGGACACGGGGATCTCAGCCAGCAGAACGCCCGAGGTCCTGGCAGCAGCGGGGTTGCTCTGCCTGAGGTGAGGAATCATCATCCAGCTCATCCTCACTTTGTATTTTTCCCCCCAGTAAACAGAGTGCCCTGCACTTGGTTCAGGACAATTTTCTGGATTATTCGTGGGGGATTTGCCATTAACTCAAAGATCCTCCCATTTTTAATCCATCCACATCCCAGGCCAGGAACGGGGATGTTTATAACAAACACTTATTTTGGGGTGAATGCCTCTGCCATTCATTATTCATCTGTAACTTAGAGCGACAAAAAACCAAAATAACTAATCCAATTCCTTTGCAAACCCACTGCATCTGGCGACCCCAAAGCCCTTCCCCGCGGCTCGGGGCTCACCGGGGATATTCATAACAAACACTTATTTTGGGGTGAATCCCTCTGCCATTCATTATTCATCTGTAACTTAGAGCGACAAAAAACCAAAATAACTAATCCAATTCCTTTGCAAACCCACTGCATCTGGCGACCCCAAAGCCCTTCCCCGCGGCTCGGGGCTCACCTGTGGGCAGCGGGTTCTGCTGGATGAGGTCCAGGCAGCGCCGGACGAGGCCGTAGAGGGGGTCGAGCGAGCTGGGCACGCGGTGCAGCGCCGGCACGCGGATCTCGGCGTGCCTGTCGGTGAAGCGCAGCACGGCCCCGGCGCTGCCCGCCTGGCACTGCTGGCCGCCAGCCCCACGCAGCAGCAGCAGCAGTGCCCAGGCCAGCAGCAGCCCTGGCGCCCGCATGGCTCCGCGAGGGCACGGAGGGGCTCCGTCAGCCTGCGCGGCGCGGGCACAGGGGCATGGCCGGCCCCGCCGCGGCTGGGCTGCTGCTCGGGGAAACCTGCCTGACGGGTCAGCGGAGCCCAGACGCTGCCGTGGCTTGTTCCCCCCACGGGCTCGCCGGGGCGGCTGCGTGGAGGCGGCTCCCAAACCATCCCGGGCCTGTTTCGCAAGCCCCGGCATCCCTGAGTCAGCGCCGCGGGGTCCCCGCCGTCCAGGCCGGTCCCCAAAGTCGTGGCAAAGCCTCCCCCGGGGTTTTGGGGGTGCTGAACCCCCTGTGGGGGATGACACCACAGAGAGATTGGAAGGAGGGATTTGGGATCTTGGGGGGTGGGAATGGCCTTGTGGGGGATGCTGGTGTGTGGATGGGGCGCCCAGGGGTCAGAATCACCCTTTGGGAAAACATCCTGAGAGCTGGGGGGGCAACAGGGAGACAAAACCAGCAGGGGCACGTGGAGGGGGGCGCTGAGCCCCAGCCGGCTGTGAGAGGAGTTCTGCAGCCTCGGCCAGCGCCCGCCCCACGCCCCGAGGTGCCCCGGCTCCTTCCCAGGGCCCGGATCCTCCTCGGGCGCTAATTACAGGCTGGGCTGGGAGCTCAGGAGGTCCGACCGGATCTCCGGGAGCCGGGGAGCGGCCCCGCGGTGCCCAGACGGCCGCGGGGCACCCCGAGAGCCGCGGCCCCGCTCAGCGCGGCGGGTCCGACCGGCCCGTCCCCTGCTAATCCGGGCCTTCCCCTCCTCTCTTCATCCCAGATTTGTTCCAGGCTTATCCCCACCACCCGCTTGGGATGTTTGGGACGGGAAAATCCCGTCCTGCCTCGGTTTGTGCCGTGCTGGGTCAGGAATTCCTGGGGTTTTCAGGATTTCTGTGCCCGGCAAGGGAGCCCCAGATGGGCACGCTGGTGCTGGGCAGGGATGGGGATGGCAGGGATGAATTCCCACCGGGATTTCCCAACCACAGCCTCCATTTCCCGTTCCCACGGTGATTTCCTAAGCCCAGCCTGGATTTCCCAACCCCAGGAGGATTTCCCATCCCCGTTCCCACTTGACTTCCATGTCCATGAGGATTTCCTATCCCCCGATCATTCCCCATCCACACAAGGATTTCCCATCCCACCCTGACTTCCATGTCCATGATGATGATTTCCCATCCCCACCATCATTTCCCATTCCCACGAGGATTTCCCATCCCCGTTCCCACTTGACTTCCATGTCCACAATGAGATTTCCCATCCCCACCATCACTCCCCACTCCCACCGTGATTTCCCACTGGTTCTGTCCCGGCTCAGTGGCCCCGGTTTGGTCCCGGTTCGGTACTGGTTCTGTCCCAGTTCTATCCCTGTTCTGTCCCGGTTCTGTCCCGGCTCTGTCCCGGTTCGGTGTCCCCGGTTCTGTTCCCGGTTCAGTGCTGGTTCTGTCCCAGTTCTGTCCCAGTTCTATCCCGGTCCTGTCCCGGTTCTGTCCCTGTTCTGTCCCGGTTCTGTCCCGGTTCTGTCCCGGTTCTATCCCGGTCCGGTCCCACTCCGGTGCCTGCAGTACCTCCCGTGACCGCTGCGCGGCGCGCGCGCCCCAGGGCGCCACCGGGAGGCGTGGCCTCCCCGCGATGGGCGTGGCCTCACCGGGGGGGCGTGGCTCTTGTCCTTCCTCCACCTCGCGCGGCGGGCGCGGAAGTGACGTCACGCGCGGGCGCGACGGCGTCACCATCATGGTGCGCAGAGGGGCCTGCCGCGTCCCGGAGCGGTGAGCGCGGCCCGGGCGGGGCGTGAGGGGACACGGGGGGTGAGGGGACACAGGGGGTGAGGGGCTGTGGGAATGCAGGGTGTGAGGGGATACAGGGGGTGAGGCTGGAGGCACTTGAGGATCTCTGACCCGGGTGGGAGTTGAGGGTCCCCGAGCCAGGGGGGACTTGGGGGTCCCTGGGGTGGGGGAGTTTGAGGGGTCCCCAGGGCTGGGGGGAATTTGGGGGTCCCTGGGCCAGCAGAGTTTGAGGGTCCCCAGCACTGGGATTTTGGGGGTCCCCAGGGCTGGGATTTGAGGGATCCCCAGCACTGGGGGGATTTTGGGAGTCCCCAGCACTGGGATTTTGGGGGTCCCTGGGCTGGGATTGGGGGGTCCCTGGGCTGGGATCGGGGGGTCCCTGGCCGTGGGGATTGTGAGGGTCTCAGAGCGGGGGGAGGCCGGGGGTCCCTGCCCCCTGACCCCCCCCCGCGCGATGGGCGTGGCCTCACATTGGGGGGCGTGGCTCTTTTCCTTCCTCCACCTCGCGCGGCGGGCGCGGAAGTGACGTCACGCGCGGGCGCGACGGCGTCACCATCATGGTGCGCAGAGGGGCCTGCCGCGTCCCGGAGCGGTGAGCGCGGCCCGGGCGGGGCGTGAGGGGACACGGGGGGTGAGGGGACACAGGGGGTGAGGGGCTGTGGGAATGCAGGGTGTGAGGGGATACAGGGGGTGAGGGGACACAGGGGGTGAGGGGCTCTGGGGTACACGGGGGCCCGGGGGTCCCTCCCCCCTGCCCCCCCCCCCGGCCCAGGTGGACAGCCTACACCCCGCTGGGCCGCAGGATGCCGGGCACGCGCTTCGTGGCCTTCAAGGTGCCCCTCAAGAAGGTGAGGGGGGACCCGGGGCTGGGGGGGTTCTTTGTCACTGTGCAGATTGTCACTCAGCCCTGGCAGCTCCCAGCTGAGCAGCCCCAAGGCTCTGAGGCCCGGCTCTGGGGTACACGGTGTGAGGGGACACGGGGGGTGAGGGGCTGTGGGAATGCAGGGTGTGAGGGGATACACGGTGTGAGGGGACACAGGGGGTGAGGGGCTCTGGGGTACACGGCGTGAGGGGACACAGAGGGTGAGGGGCTCTGGGGCCACAAGGTTTGAGAGTCCCCGGCCCCTAGGGATGCTTGAGGATCTCTGACCCGGGTGGGAGTTGAGGGTCCCCGAGCCAGGCGGGATTTGGGGGTCCCGAGCTCAGGGAGGTTTGAGGGGGGGGGTTGGGAATTCTGGGCCCGGGGGAGGTTTGAGGGTCCCCAGGACTGGGGGGATTTGGGGGTCCCTGGGCTGGGATTTGGGGGTCCCTGGCCGTGGGGATTGTGAGGGGGTGATTTTAATGAAAAAAATCCATGAACTAGGTGATTTTAATCAAAAAATCCATGACTTGGGTGATTTTAATCAAAAAATCCATGAACTAGGTGATTTTAATGAAAAAATCCATGAACTGGGTGGTTTTAATCAAAAAATCCATGAACTGGGTGGTTTAATGCCATTTTCACCCAAACCATCCCAGAATTCAGCGACCAAAATGCGATTTTCTGGTGTTTTTCCTGGGGTGCTCTGCCTGCTCCCCAGAGCAGCAGGCTCTCCCCACCCCCAGTTTTACCCATCCTTTCCTGCAGGGTGATTTTAATCGAAAAATCCATGACCTGGGTGATTTAATGCCATTTTCACCCAAACCATCCCAGAACTGAGTGACCAAAGTGCGATTTTCTGGTGTTTTGCCTGGGGCATTGTCTCTGCTCCCCAGAGCAGCAGGCTCTCCCCACCCCCAGGTTTAACCCATCCTTTCCTGCAGTGCTTTGAGCAGCACCTTCTGCCAAGGCAGAGGTTCTCCCCTCACGATCTGCTCAGGAAGGTGCAGGAGAGGCAGGAGGAGCTGGGGCTGATCATCGACCTCACCTGCACCACGCGCTACTACGGCCCCGAGGTGGGTGCCCAGAAGGGGGATTGTCCCCAAAAACACCTCCCGGGGGAGGGGCAGGCCTGCAGTCCTCTGCCAGGGGCTGAGCTGGAGCCTTGCAGGCCAGGGGGATGTTTCTGGTAATTGTCCAACCTTGAAATCTCCTTGGATCTTGATTGGTTGGTGATGGCTTGTGCCAAATTATTTTCTTTTTGGGTATGTTTATGGGTTTTTTTATAAATTATATATAAGAGTATATGTATATATATGTATTTATGTAATTTTAAATATATGTTTTTTGTTTATGGGCTCTTCACAGGATGGATTTTTTATTTTTGCAGGTTTAGCCTGTTTTTTCACAAAAGCAGAATGTTAAAAACCAGATTGTTATATAAACTGATTCTTATAAACAGAACTTTTCTTACCTAAGACTGTGTAGCTGCTCCTTAGGGTTTGGTGAGAAAATTTATCTTCAGTTTATTACCTGTGATTCTTTCATTAATAAGAATTTTTGTGTGAGGAAAACTGGTTTTTTCTGCTTTATTACTTTGTGATTGTGTAATTAATCAGGATTTTGGTGCTTTTCCTGGCACTTCCTGCCTTGTCTCCCCAGGAGCTGGATTAATAAGAGTTTTTGTGTGAGGAAAAGTCATCTTTTCTTTGTTTATTACCTGTGATTGTGTAATTAATAGGAATTTTTGCGTGAGAAAAATTTCTCTTTTTCCATTCTATTACCTGTGATTTTGTAATTAATGAGAATTTTTATGTGAGGAAAACTGATCTTTTCTGTGATTCTTTAATTAGTAACAATTCTTGTGTGAGGAAAACTGGTTTTTTCTGGTGTTTTTTACCTGTTACTGGATAATTCATCAGGATTTTGGTGCTTTCCCTGGCACTTCCTGCCTTGTCTCCCCAGGAGCTGCCCCCCACGCTGTGCTACTCCAAGATCCTGACCATGGGCCACGAGATCCCCAGCACAAAAACCTTCCAGAGGTTCAGTTACCTGGTGAGAAACTTCCTGGTGGCCAACAGAGACAACGGTGAGCCCGGGCTCCCCCCTGCCCAGCAGGGATTTCCTCCCTGCCCTTGGCCTGGGAACACCCAGGCAATAAATTGGATTTCAGTTGGATTTTCCTGGGCAGGGAATGGCCCCTGGCTCCCATCTGGGCAGGGAGGGAGGCAGAACTCACCTGCATTTTGGGGGGTTTTGAGCTGCCCTGGTGGTGCCCAAAGCACTGCAGGGTGCTGTTAACTGGGCTTGAGCTGTGGCCCTGAGCAGATGAGCCACAATTAACGAGCCGAGCGCTAATTGGAGCTGTGGGGGTGGTGCAGAGGGGCTCCTTGGGGGGCAGGGGAGGCAGCTCAGGGTGCCCTGTGTGTGTTGCAGATAAACTCATCGGGGTGCACTGCACACATGGCCTGAACAGGACTGGCTACCTGGTCTGCAGGTGAGTGCTGGGTCACAGGGGGTCACTGGTGACACTTCCAGGTCAGTTCTGGGTCAGAGGGGATCACTGCTGGCACTTCCAGGTCAGTTCTGGGTCAGAGGGGATCACTGCTGGCAGTTCCAGGTGAGTTCTTGACCAGAGGCATCAGTGGTGGCACTTCTAGATCAGTTTTCCTTGCCCAGGTGGGTTCAGTGGTGGCAATTCCAGGTCAGTTCTCCTGGTGGCACTTCCAGGTCACTTCCTGTGACAATTCCAGGAGGGTCCTTGCCCAGGGGGGCTCAGGGGTGACAGTTCCAGGTCAGTCCTTGCCCACTGGGCTCAGTGCTAGCCCTGCAGGAGGAAAGCAGAGTGAGTGATTTCTGTGACCCCAAACCTGCAAGGGTTCACAGCTTTCCTTGGGGGGCATTTTTCATCCCCAAATCCATCAGTAAATGCTGATTTTCCATAAATAAAAGCTTTAAAACTCCCCAGTCTTTTTTTTTCTGTTTGCACCATCACCAACCCATCAGTGTTTTCATAATTAATTGGTTAATTAGAGGTGTTCTGCTGCTCTTTCAGGTACCTGATTGATGTTGAAGGCATGGAGCCAAATGCTGCCATAGAGTGTGAGCATCCTGTGGGGTGGGGAGGGCAAATCTGGGGAGGAAACTTTTAAAAGAAGTCTTTTTAAAAAGTAGCTTGAAGTGGCTTTACTTTTTATTTGGGAAGAGATTATTTTTGGGGGGGAGAAAAGTGGGAAAAATAGTTTATTTAACAAAGTGTAAGATGATTTTTTTGGGGGAGAAAAGTGGGAAAAATAGTTTATTTAACAAAGTGTTTCTAAGTATGAAAGATGAAGTGTTAATAGAACTGGTTTTTTGAAGAGAAATTAAATTTAGAAAGTTTTTTTGTGGGTTGTAGGTAGGTTTGCTTTGTTTTTTATTAGTTTTTTGCTGTTGGAATGCATGTTTTAGGCTTTAGTGGGTTGTAGGTGCTTTTTTGGGTTTTTAGTTCAGAGTAGCTTTGAACAGTTTAAAAAAAAAAAAAGAAAAATTGTAGTTCAGGGACCTTTTTTTTGTTTTAGCTAGCTAAAAACGAAGTGAAAAGTAGATTTTTGGGGTGGCTTCAGCTGCTCTGTCTGTCCCCAGTGTTCAACACAGCCCGAGGGCACCGCATGGAGAGAAGGAACTACATCCAGGACCTGCAGAGGAGGGCCCCGGGGTGAGCCTGGCTGCTGGGGGGCAGCGGGGCTGGGGGGGCTCTGGGGGGGATTCCCAGCATATTCCAGGGATTCCCAGCATATTCCAGGGATTCCCAGCATATTCCAGGGATTCCCAGCATATTCCAGGGATTCCCAGCATATTCCAGGGATTCCCAGCATATTCCAGGGATTCCCAGCATATTCCAGCAATTCCCAGGACGTTCCAGGGATTCCCAGGACGTTCCAGGGATTCCCAGGACATTCCCAGGACGTTCCAGGGATTCCCAGGACATTCCCAGGACATTCCAGGGATTCCCAGGACATTCCAGGGATTCCCAGGACATTCCAGGGATTCCCAGGACATTCCAGGGATTCCCAGGACATTCCAGGGATTCCCAGGACATTCCAGGGATTCCCAGGACATTCCAGGGATTCCCAGGACATCCAGGCTGCTCCATCCCCGGCAGTGTGCAGGGAGCAGCCTGGCTGGGGGAGCTGTCCTTGGGGGGGTTTGGGGTCCTTTCCATCCCAAACCCTTCTGGGGAGTGGAACCCCCCAGGTCTCCTCCCAGGGCGTGCAGGAGCTGTGGGGTCACTCCGTGGGTGCAAAACTCCCCTTTCCCACTGAACACATCTGGAATTCTCCTTCCAATTCCTTCCCAAAGCAGCTGTGAGCTGAGGAGCTGGGGCTCAGGTCTGGGGAGGAAGGGCAGAGCCCCCGGCGAGCCCCAGGAGCAGCCCCAGCCCCCCCTGGCAGTGCCCAGGTAGGTGTTTGCCCCCTCCCCTTGGCACAACCCGGGCTGGGTTTGCCAGGCTGCCTTTCTCAAAGTTCAGGGGCAAAATGCCAGCATGAGGCTCCTGTGCCTGGGGATGCCAGCCCTGGCACCCCAGGAACCTTCCCAGCTGGGAATTCCCAGGAGGGGAGTGCCAGCAGAGCCAGCTGGGCACTGAGGAGCCTCTGGCACCTCCTGGCTCTGGGGGAGCTCCCGGAGCCTCTCCAGGGCAGCTCTGGGCACAGCTGTGGCTCCTTCCCCTCCTCCCCAGTTCCTGGTGGAAATTGAGAATCAGAAAATTCCTGATGGAAATTTAAAAAAAAAAAAAAAATATCCCTGATGGAAATTTTAAAAAAATCCATGATGGAAATTGAGAAAAATCCATGATGGAAATTTAAAAAAATCCCTGATGGAAATTTTTAAAAATTCATGATGGAAATTGAAAAAATAATCCTTGATGGAAATTGAAAAAAATTCCCTGATGGAAATTGAAAAAAATTCCCTGATGGAAATTGAAAAAAATCCCTGGTGGAAATTGAAAAAAAAAAATCCCTGATGGAAATTGAAAAAAAAAATCCATTATGGAAATTGAAAAAAAATTCATGATGGAAATTTAAAAAGTCCCTGGTGGAAATTGAAAAAAAAAAATCCATGATGGAAATTGAAATTGAAGTTCCTCCTGAAATCCTGAAATTTCCCCCAGAAATCAGGAGTGAGCCTCTCTGGGAGCTCAGGCTGCAGGAAAGGCTCTGGGTGTTCCCCCAGCCCTCTCTGGGTGCTGATCCCAAATTTCCCTGCAGGAACACCAGCAGTGCCAGGCAGAGGCAGGGACAGCAGAAACAGCTGGAAATAGAACATCTGGAGCAGAGGAAGCACAAAAAGCTGGAGCAGCAGGAACAGAAACAGCTGGAAATAGAACATCTGGAGCAGAGGAAGCACAAAAAGCTGGAGCAGCAGGAACAGAAACAGCTGGAAATAGAACATCTGGAGCAGAGGAAGCACAAAAAGCTGGAGCAGCAGGAGCAGAGGAAGCAGCAAAAGCAGAATGCTCTGGAGACAGAACATGTGGAGGACAGGAAGCAGAAGCAGCAGAGGCAGCAGAACCATCTGGAGCTGGAGCAGCTGGAGCAGGGAAAGCAGAAAAAGCAGGAGCAGAATGATCTGGAGATGGAGCAGCAGGAGCAGAGGAAAGAGAAGAAAAAGAAACACCTGGAGCAGGAAAAGCAGAACTGGTCTGGAGCAGAATCATGTGGAGGTAGAGCAGCACGAGCAGGGGAAGCAGGAAAAGCTGGGGCAGAGGAAAAAGAAAAAGCTGGAGCAGCAGGAAGAGAGTCATTTGGAAATAGAGCAGCTGGAGCAGAAAAAACAGAAGAAACAGAAACATCTGGAGCAGAATCAGCAGAATTACCTGGAGCAGAATCATCTGGAGCATCAGGAGCAGAGGAAGCAGAAAAGGCAGAAACATCTGGAGCAGGAAAAGCAGAATTGCCTGGAGCAGAATCCTCTGGAAATAGAGCAGCACGAGCAGGGGGAAAAGAAAAAGCTGGAACATCAGGAACAGAATCATCTGGAGGTAGAGCATCAGGAGCAGAGGAAACACAAGAAACAGAAACATCTGGAGCAGAAGAAGCAGAAAAAGCTGAAACCTCTGGAGCAGAATCATCTGGAGACAGAGCAGCTGGAGCAGAGGAAGCAGAAAAAACTGGAACATCCTGAGCAGAAGAAGCAGAATCATCTGGAGACAGAGCAGCTGGAGCAGAGGAAGCAGGAAAAGCTGGAACATCAGGAGCAGAATCACCTGGAGCAGAAGAAACTGGAGGAGCTGGAGCAGAGGAAGCAGAAAAAGCAGAATCAGGTGGAGCAGAATCACCTGGAGCACAGGAAGCAGAAAAAACTGGAACATCCTGAGCAGAAAAAGCAGAAGAAGCAGAATGATCTGGAGACAGAGCATCAGAAGCAGAGGAAGCAGGAAAATCTGGAACATCAGGAGCAGAGGAAAGAGAAGAAAAAGAAACACCTGGAGCAGGAAAAGCAGAACTGTCTGGAGCAGAATCATGTGGAAACAGAGCAGCAGGAGCAAAGGAAACACAAGAAACAGAAACATCAGGAACGGAATCATCTGAAAATGGAGCATCAGGAGCAGGGGAAAAAGAAAAAGCTGGAACATCAGGAACAGAATTGTCTGGAGATGGAGAAGCAGGAGCAGAGGAAGCAGAAGAAACAGAAAAATCTGGAACAGAATCATCTGGAACATCAGGAACAGAGGAAGCAGAAAAAGCAGAAGCACCTGGAGCAGGAAAAGCAGAATTTCCTGGAGCAGAATCATGTGGAAACAGAGCAGCAGGAGCAGGGGAAACAGAAAAAGCTGGAACATCAGGAACAGAATCATGTGGAGCAGGGAAAACAGAAGAAACAGAAAAATCTGGAGCAGGAAAAGCAGAATTACCTGGAGATGGAACATCAGGAGCAGAGGAAGCAGAAAAGGCAGAAACATCTGGAGCAGAAGAAGCAGAATCATCTGGAGCATCAGGAGCAGAGGAAGCAGAAAAAACTGGAACATCCTGAGCAGAAGAAGCAGAATCATCTGGAGACAGAGCAGCTGGAGCAGAGGAAGCAGGAAAAGCTGGAACATCAGGAACAGAATCATCTGGAGGTGGAGCATCAGGAGCAGAGGAAAAAGAAGAAACAGAAACATCCTGAGCAGAAGAAGCAGAGAAAGCTGAAACCTCTGGAGCAGAATCATCTGGAGACAGAGCAGCTGGAGCAGAGGAAGCAGGAAAAGCTGGAACATCAGGAGCAGAATCACCTGGAGCAGAAGAAACTGGAGGAGCTGGAGCAGAGGAAGCAGAAAAAGCAGAATCAGGTGGAGCAGAATCACCTGGAGCACAGGAAGCAGAAAAAACTGGAACATCCTGAGCAGAAAAAGCAGAAGAAGCAGAATGATCTGGAGACAGAGCATCAGAAGCAGAGGAAGCAGGAAAATCTGGAACATCAGGAGCAGAGGAAACAGAAGAAAAAGAAACACCTGGAGCAGGAAAAGCAGAACTGTCTGGAGCAGAATCATGTGGAAACAGAGCAGCAGGAGCAAAGGAAACACAAGAAACAGAAACATCAGGAACGGAATCATCTGAAAATGGAGCATCAGGAGCAGGGGAAAAAGAAAAAGCTGGAACATCAGGAACAGAATTGTCTGGAGATGGAGAAGCAGGAGCAGAGAAAACAGAAGAAACAGAAAAATCTGGAACAGAATCATCTGGAACATCAGGAACAGAGGAAGCAGAAAAAGCAGAAACATCTGGAGCAGGAAAAGCAGAATCATCTGGAACAGAATCATGTGGAAACACAGCAGCTGGAGCAGGGGAAACAGAAAAAGCTGGAACATCAGGAACAGAATCATGTGGAGCAGGGAAAACAGAAGAAACAGAAAAATCTGGAGCAGGAAAAGCAGAATTACCTGGAGATGGAACATCAGGAGCAGAGGAAGCAGAAAAAGCAGAAGCACCAGGAGCAGGAAAAGCAGAATCATGTGGAGATAGAGCAGCAGGAGCAGGGGAAAAAGAAAAAGCTGGAACATCAAGAAAAGAATCATGTGGAGATGGAGCATGAGGAGCAGAGGAAGCAGAAGAAACAGAAATGTCTGGAGCAGAATCATCTGGAACATCAGGAACAGAGGAAGCAGAAAAAGCAGAAACATCTGGAGCAGGAAAAGCAGAATCATCTGGAGCAGAATCATCTGGAAATAGAGCAGCACGAGCAGGGGAAGAAAAAGAAACAGAAACATCAGGAGCAGAATCATCTGGAACTGGAACATCAGGAGCAGAGGAAGCAGAACCACCTGGCGCTGCCCCCCAGGAGCTGCTGCCTCTCCCCACCCCCCAGGAAGAAGAAGAAGCAGCAGCAGGACGTGTCCTGAGCCCGGAGAGCCCCGCGGAGCTGCCAGGAGCAGGTTTTTCACAAAAATCAGGTTTCCATCTGGTTTTTCTCACAGCTCTGGTGCCTTTCCGGAATTTCTCACTTGGTGCTGTGGGGGGGCTGGGTGACCCCACAGGAACACCCTCAGGCCCTGCAACAAAACCGGCTTTTGTTGTTTCCTCAGGGCAGGGCGAGGAGAGGACTCGAAAACTCAATTTTTATCCTTTTTTACCGTTTTTGCTCGCGGGTGACATCAGCGGCGTTTTCACCCGAGTGAACCATTTCTACTTTTGCTAAAGTAAACTTCCACGCTGTGCAAACCCCAGCCTGGCTGCGGAGCAGTGATTCCCGCGGGGGGGGTCGGGGTCGCTTTTGGGGTGAGAACGGCCGGGTTTGGGTCGGGCGGGGCGCGGCCCCTTTAAGACGCACCGCTATGACGTCACGACGCTGCCCTAAGGGAGCGGAAGCCGCTTCACAACCGGGCGGAAGTCGGGGGTGTGTGTTGCGTACCCGGATGTCCAGGCGGGTTCTGATTGGGTGGCGAGAGCGAGGCCGCGGCCGGTGGGGAAGAACCCGGAAGTGCTGAGGGGAGCGGCGGCGGCCCGCGCCAGGTCAGGGCCGGGCCGGGCCGGGCGGGCCCTGCGGGATGGCGGGGCCCGGCCGCTGATGGGGGATCCCGCTGGGCGCCGGGGGCGGCTCGAGGCGTCCCGAGCTGCCCCGGCGGCAGGGCTCCGGGTGGGGGCTCCGCTATGGCGGCAGCGCGGCCTGGAATCTTCCCCCCTTGGACAGGGGGACCCGCCCGGAGGGCTCCGGCCGCGGGGTGTTCGCTTCAGGAAGGGGGATCCCATCGCGGCGGGGCGGTGGGAGCCTTCGCTTTAGTTCCTGTCCTAAATCCTAAATTAATTCCTAGCCTAAATTAATTAGTAGCCTAAATTAATTTGTAACCTAAATTAATTCCTAACCGCCATGTCTGATGGGAAGGGGATCTGCTCGGGGCTGGGCGTGTTTCCCCCCGGGACGGGGGGCTCGTTTCGGGCTCCTTTGCCCCGCTGTGGGGACAGGATCTGGGAGGAGCCTGGTGGGTCGGGAGGGGTCTGGGGAGATCCTGGAGCCCCGTGGGGCCGGGGTTTCCAGGTTCAGTGATTTCCCCGATTCCCTGGTTCCCAAATTCAGTGATTTTCCCGATTCCATGATGCCCTGATTTCCCAGATTCCCCCATCCAGTGATTCCCCGACCCAGTGATTTTCCTGCTTGCCTGATGCCCTGATTTCTGTGATCCAGTGATTGCCTGATTCCCTGATCTCTGCGATTCCCTGGTTTCTGTGATGCTCTCATTTATGTTATTCCTGATCCCTTCATCTCTGTGATTCCCTCATTTCTGTGACTCACGATCCCCTGATCTCTGTGATTCCTATTTCCGTAATTCCCTCATTTCTCTTATTCCTGATCCCCTGATCTCTGTGATTCCTATTTCCGTAATTCCCTCATTCCTGTGATTCTTGACTCCCTGATCTCTGTGATTCCCTGATCTGTTACCCCCTGATTTCCTGATCTCTGCGATCCCCTCATTTCCATTATCCCCTGATTTCCATGACCCCCTATTCCCCATTCCCCATTCCCATTCCCCATCCCCATCCCCTGACTCCCGTGCTGTCTCCCCGCAGGCGTGCAGCATGGCGGGCGCGGCGGGCAGTGCCATTCCCATTCCCCATTCCCATCCCCATCCCCTGACTCCCCGTCTCCCCACAGCGGTGCAGCATGGCGGGCGCAGTGGGCAGTGCCATTCCCCATCCCCATCCCCTGACTCCCGTGCTGTCTCCCCGCAGCGGTGCGGCATGGCAGGCGCGGCGGGCAGTGCCAGCCTGGCCCCCGAGGAGCGGGTGCGGCGGCTGGTGCGGGCGGGCAGCAGCGTGCAGGTCAGCGAGGACGTGCCCCCGCGCCGCTACTTCCGCTCGGGCGTCGAGCTGCTGCGCATGGCCACGGTCTACTGCCAGGAGGGCAACCTGGAGCACGCCTTCATCCTCTACCACAAGTACATCACGTAAGGGACACGGGCTGGGCACGCGTGGGCACGGCTTTGGGGGGTTTGGGGGGTTTGGGGTGCTAGGAGGGGAGCCTTCATCCTCTACCACAAGTACATCACGTAAGGGACACGGGCTGGGCACGCGTGGGCACGGCTTTGGGGTGTCAGGAGGGGAGCCTTCATCCTGTACCACAAGTACATCACGTAAGGGACACGGGCTGGTCACGCGTGGGCACGGCTTTGGGGGGTTTGGGGTGCCAGGAGGGCAGCCTGGAGCACGCCTTCATCCTCTACCACAAGTACATCACGTAAGGAACGCTGCCAGGGGGTGCAAAACATGGGTTTGGGGGGTTTGGGGTGCCAGGAGGGCAGCCTGGAGCACGCCTTCATCCTCTACCACAAGTACATCACGTAAGGGACACGGGCTGAGTGTGGGTTTGGGGGATTTGGGGTGTTTGGGGTGCCAGGAGGGCAGCCTTCATCCTCTACCACAAGTACATCACGTAAGGGACACGGGCTGGGCACGGCTTTGGGGGGTTTGGGGGGTTTGGGGTGCCAGGAGGGGAGCCTGGAGCACGCCTTCATCCTCTACCACAAGTACATCACGTAAGGAGGGCAGCCAGGGGAGCTGGGCACAGGTTTGGGGGCTTTGGGGAGGGGGAGAGCCCCACAGGTCTGGGTTCAGGCCAGGGATGTGCTGCTCAGGGCTTTGGGGTGCCAAACTGGGATGGGGTTTGGGGTGCTCTGCTCCCTGAGGGGTTTGGGGTGGCTGTGAGGGTTTGGGGAGGTGGGAGAGCCCCACAGGTCTGAGTTCTGGCCAGGGATCTGCTCCTCAGGGCTTTGGGGTGCTCTGCTGCTCCTCAGGGCTTTGGGGTGCTGTGCCCTCAGGGCTTTGGGGTGCTCTGCCCTGAGGGCTTTGGGGTGCTCTGCTGCTCCTCAGGGCTTTGGGGTGCTCTGCCCTGAGGGCTTTGGGGTGCTCTGCTGCTCCTCAGGGCTTTGGGGTGCTCTGCCCTGAGGGCTTTGGGGTGCTCTGCTGCTCCTCAGGGCTTTGGGGTGCTGTGCCCTCAGGGCTTTGGGGTGCTCTGCCCTGAGGGCTTTGGGGTGTGCCAAACTGGGATGGGGCTTGGGGTGCTCTGCTCCCTGAGGGGTTTGGGGTGGCTGTGAGGGCTTGGGGAGGTGGGAGAGCCCCACAGGTCTGAGTTCTGGCCAGGGATCTGCTCCTCAGGGCTTTGGGGTGCTCTGCTGCTCCTCAGGGCTTTGGGGTGCTCTGCCCTGAGGGCTTTGGGGTGCTCTGCTGCTGAGGTGTAAAAATAACTAACATTAAAAGGTGTAAAGGAAATAAATCCTCAGATGGCCCCAAAGGAGAGCTCCCTGCTGCGGAGGAGCTCCCTGCCCCCTCAAAGAGATCTCTGGGGGTTTAGGAGGATAAAAGCCCCGATCCCAAGGGGGCCGTGCCCTGTTCCTGCAGGTTCTCGCCCAGCCTGCCCCTGCTGCTTTGCTCAGTGCCCCAGAGTGCTCTGTGCTGTGCCCAGACAGCCCTGGCATCTCCGTGGGCATTTTCCCTGCCTGCCCCCCGAGCAGGGCTGCTGCCCCTCACACCCAGCACATTTTTCTCTGATTAGCTTTGCTCCCTGCCTCGCCCTTCCTGAGCTTTTATGGGCATGGTGGCGAGGCCAGGAGGCTGCTGGGGAGTGTAAAACCTTCGGGAAAGGTTCCCAACAAAGCTTTGGCAGGAGTTCCAGGCCCCTCTCCCAGCTGGGGCTGCAGGAGAAACGTTGGAAGTAAACAAATGAGCTGCTGCTCGGGTCACTGCAGCAGCCAGAGGTGCTGGCTCGTGGCCCCAGCTGCTTTCAAGTGATTCTGCTGGCAGTTCCAGCCTGCCTGGAAGCCTTTTCCACCAGGGAAATCATCTCCCCCAGGGAAAAGCCGGCCCTGCTGGGGTTTCTGCAGTGCTGGCCCTGGGAAAGGGGGAGTTGGGCGTGTTCAGCCTGGGGAGAAAAGGCTCTGGGGGGACCTGGGGGTCCCCTCTGCTGCCCAGAGAGGGGTTCTGAAAAGGGAGGAGAGGGATTTTCACAGAGGCAGGGAGTGTCAGGCCACAGGGGATGCTTTTAAACCAACAGAGGGCAGGGCTGGATGGGATTTGGGGAAGGAATTCCTCCCTGTGAGGGTGGCAGGGAATTCCCAGAGCAGCTGGGGTCCCCAAGGTCAGGTTGGACCAGCCTGGGACAGCGTCCCTGCCATGGCAGGATGGCCTTTGAGGTCCCTCCCCATCCCATGCCAGCCATTCCAGGATTCTGCAACTCTCTCCAGGATTTTTAACCTGTGTCTTGTCACCTTGCAAGTCCTTCCTTGCCCGTGGTCCTGAGCAGCTTCTCCTGCCCTGACCCAAAAGGGTGTTTGAATCACCAGCAGGGGCACTGGGCTGGTGTGGTAAAGCCCAATGAGAAGGGAAAAAGGAAAAAACCACAACTTTGAGCCAAGAAAGAAAGAAAAAAAAGGAATAAGACACAACTTTGGGCCAAGTAAGAAGGACAAAAGGAATAAGGGACAATTTTGAGCCAAATAAAAAAGAAAAAAAAAGGAATAAGGCACCACTGTGAGCCAAGTAAGAAGGAAAAAAAAACCAAGACACAGCTTTGAGCCAAGTAGGAAGGACAAAAGGAATAAGGGACAATTTTGAGCCAAACAAGAAAGGAAAAAGGAGCAAGACACAACTTCTCTGTGGTGCTGGGGCTGCTCAGTTTGCTTGGATCAGCTCCAGGGACTCGTGGGGGTGTCACAAGAGCCTCTAGAGCCACCGCCTTGGCCTGGGCACCAGAGCTGGGCTTAAAAATAGTCCTGGCTCTGGCTGCTGCACAGCTGCTGCTCTGCTGGGCTCCAGGGCTCTGCAGCAGCCCCGAGCTGCTGGCTGGGGGAGGTTTTGGTGTTGCCAGGCCCCAGCAGGGCTGTCAGGAGCTCTTCCAGCCCTTCCTCTGCCTGGGCTTTTCCTCAGCCTGCCTGAGCCCTCCTCTCCTGCTCCTGCCCACGTCTTTCCTGCTTGCTGGCTCGTGCAAAGCCAGCTGTCTGTGCTGGCTTTCCATCCAGCCCAGGGCAGCATCTGCTCCTAATCCTGCCTAATTAATCCCTTCCATTTGGATCCCAAGCTGCTGGCAGGGCTCGGGGCCTTGTTGTGTCTTCCCCTCTTTTTCCCCTCTTTTTCCCCTCTTTTTCCCCTCTTTTTCCCCTCTTTTCCCCCTTTTTTTCCCCCTTTTTTTCCCCCTTTTTTCCCCCCTTTTTTCCCCATTCTTTTTCCCCTTTTTTCCCCCTTTTTTCCCCTTTTTTTCCCATTTTTTATCCCTTTTGTTACTCCCTGGGACAGGGGAGGCTGGGTGGGAGGATGCTGAGCTCCTCTCAATCTCCCTCCCCAGGCCCAGCCCAGAATTCTCCCTCCTGCCTGGGCTACCTGGGGAGCTCAGCTGCAGAGCCCAGAGGCTCCTGCAGCAGCACCTGGGGCTCTTGGGAACTTGCTTTTTCCACACTTGCTTTGCTTTTTGCCTTGAGCTTTTTTGCTGACCTGCAGGCTGTCCCTGGCCGAGGTCTGAGCTGCACAAAATCCCCGTTCCTCCATGCAGGAGGGAGCTCAGAGGGCTGTGGGATGGTGCAGGAGTGAGGAGAGTGCCCCTGATGAGAGTGGCAAAGCTAGCCTTTGTCCCCCAAAAAAAGGAAAGAAGCCCAGAAGTTTCTCCCAACGATCAGGTGAAAAGCCGCCTTACAGGACCCCAGAGGCTTCCCTAAAACCTTGGGGTCACCTCATTGTACAGGAGCCAGAAAGTCCTGCCTGGGCCATCAGGTAGAAAAGGAGAGAACAAAAGAACTGAACTGCTTTTGTGAAGGTGTTTGTACCAGGAGCAGACCTCTGTACCTGGCTCGGATTTTCTGTTTGTTATTTTGCCTTTTATTAAACCTTTTTGTTCCTGACACTGCAGCAGAAGCCATCCTGCTCATGCTTTGCCTCCAGAGGTAATAGCCAAGCTCTCCTTGGTGTGTTAGGTTCTCTTTTGAAAGCTCATAGAACCCTGGCCCGACAAAACAGAACCGAACAGGATGGAGCCAGGCAGGGGCAGCACAGGGTGCCCAGGGCAGCACAGGGTGCCCAGGGCAGAGGGAGTGCCCTGGAGTGCAGCTCGTGTCCCCTTTTGCAGGCTCTTCATCGAGAAGCTGCCGCAGCACCGCGACTACAAGAGCGCCGTCATCCCTGAGAAGAGGGAGACGGTCAGGGTGAGTGGGGCCGTGCTCAGGGTCACCAGCCTGGGCCTTCCCAACTCTGCCATGAGTGATCCTCACAAACGCTGAGGGCCAGGCACTGCTGAGCCCTCGGGAGTTCAGTTCTGGGCTCCTCACTCCAGGGAATCCATGCAGGGGCTGGAGCCGGGGATGGGAACGGAGCTGGGGAAGGGGCTGAGCCCCAGGAGGGGCTGAGGGAGCTGGGGAAGGGGCTGAGGGAGCTGGGAAGGGGCTGAGCCCCAGGAGGGGCTGAGGGAGCTGGGGAAGGGGCTGAGGGAGCTGGGAAGGGGCTGAGCCCCAGGAGGGGCTGAGGGAGCTGGGAAGGGGCTCAGAAGGAGAAAAGGGGGATCAGGGGGGCCCTTCTGGCTCTGCACTGCTCCTGGTCAGGCTCTGCTCCCAGGGAACAGGGGCAGGATAAGGGGAAACGGCCTCGCCTCACACCAGAGGCCGTTTCCCCTTATCCACCACTTAAGCTGGATACTGGGGAAATTTCTTGCCCAAAAGCATTGTCCTGTCCTGGCACTGGCTTCCACCACCCCTGGAAGTGTTCCAAAATACCTGGGGACACGGATTAGTGGTGGAGAGCTGTGGGAAAGGTTGAACTCAGTGATCTTGGAGGTGTTTTCCAGCCTAAACAGCTCCAGGATTCTCTGGGTTACCTTTGGGGGGCTCTCACCCCGTTGCACTGGGCTGGCTGTGGTGTCCACTTGGGGTGTCCTTTCTCCCCTGTTCAACTCCCTGCTTTTCAAAGTCCACGAGTGCTGGCTGGTGATTTTTTTTCTCCAAGGGAATCCTTGGAGATTCCTCCCAGCCCCAGAAGCTGCAGCTCCTGCTCAGCTCTGCCCAGAAGAGAGCACAGCACTGCCCCAGCTCTTGCTCAGTGATTCTGGCGGTGCCTTTTGGCTTTGTTTTCCTTGCCTCGGGGCTGGCCCAGGCTGATGCTGATTTTTTTTTCTCCAAGGGAATCCTTGGAGATTCCTCCCAGCCCCAGCAGCTCCTGCTCAGCTCTGCCCAGAAGAGAGCACAGCACTGCCCCAGCTCTTGCTCAGTGATTCTGGCGGTGCCTTTTGGCTTTGTTTTCCTTGCCTCGGGGCTGGCCCAGGCTGATGCTGAGTTTCCTCCCCCAGAAACTGAAGGAAGTAGCCTTTCCCCGAGCCGAAGAGCTCAAGGAGGAGCTGCTAAAGAGGTACGCCCAGGACTATGCTAAGTACAAGGAGCAGGAGGTGAGTGACAGCACGCTGCAGGCTGTGCTCCCCTGGAGCCCCTCAGCCTCGAGGCTTTGGGAGCTCCAGGGCTCCCTGGGGGCTGGGGAATGTCCAGGCTGGGTGGCCCCACTGTCACTGCAGGTGGCCCTGCTCCCCGTGCATCCCCAGCCAGCCTCAGCTGGGCTCTGTGCTTGGTTTCTCCTCTCTGTCCCACGAAAGGAAAGCACCACGCCATGGGAAATTAGAAGCAGAAATTAAATTTTAAAAAGGGGAGGGGTTGAAATTCCAGCACAAGCCCAGGATCTGTGTGGGCAGAGCAGTCACCTCTGCAGTCGGTTTGGCTCTGGACTTCAGAGGATGGAGGGAAATCAACCTGGGATTGGAATTCCCTGGAAGAGGGAGGGTAGAGCAGTGCTTTTCCTGCCCTTGGTGCAGCTGGCTGTGGATCTGTGCCCTGCAAGCTGAAAATGCTGTGTGCTGCTGACCTTTGGGAATAACCTGGGAGTGGCTGGGGGTCTGCCTGGGGCTGGTGTCCCCCTCTCTGCTGCTGTCCCTGGGCGTGTTCCTCCTCGCAGCAGGAGGGGCAAGAAGAGTAACCTGCACATCCTGTGGCCTTGCAGCAGCAGCTGGAGGAGGAGAGGACTCGGGTGGCCCTGATGAAGCAGCAGCAGGCAGAGCAGGAGCAGTTCCACGCCTTCGAGGAGATGATCAGGCAGCAGGAGCTGGAGAAGGAGCGCCTCAGGATCGTGCAGGAGTTTGGGAAGCCAGAGCCAGAGTCTGTGGATGGACCCCTCATCCCTGGCATAGAAAAGCCCCCAACAGATTTAACCCCAAAGGTTCCAGTCTCTCCAGTTCACCCAGCAAGTCCATCAGCGGGGACTGTGCCCTCCAAACCTCCTGTTGTGGACAGATCTTTGAAGCCCAGTGCTCTGGGGAGCACAGAGAACAGTTAGTACCTCTTGGAGCAGCTCTTCTCCCTGCTGGGGCCGAGCCACGCACAGCCAGCTTCTCTGGGAGGCTTTTGGAGTTTCCTGATCGTGGGGGTTTGCTCTCCTGGGTCACTGGGTGTTGTCCTCCTGCTCTTCCAGCCCAGCCTCTCTGCTCTTCCAGGGTCTGCAGCCTGTTTGCTTTTCCTTGTTCCAAATACTTGCTGGAGGTTGGGGTTTGGCTCCTGGCTGGGCTGGCTGAATCCTCCTCCTGACCAAATCCCACCAACCGTGGTTCCAAAATACTGATTCAGACACATCCAGGGGCTGAGTGCCCAGTGACACGTCCTGCTTTAAATAACACTTCCTGAGGGTGTGTGGTTTCATTTTTAGTCACAAAACACTCCTTTTGCCCCCTGCCAGAGCATCCTTCCCTTTTCCACCTCCCTTTCCCTGTTCTGAGAGAGGTGCTGCAAGTGTCGCAGTGACACAGTTCCCTGAGGCAGAGGTGACTTGATCTTCCCAGCTGCATTTTCTCCCTTCCCATCCTGCCCTGAGGGACCCTTCCTGCCCCTGCTGACTGTGCTGCCTGCTGCCCACAGGTGCAGGCGTGGACGTGCTGCGGCAGGTCATTGTCCCCAGGGAGCTGTGCCACAAGTTCCTGCAGCTGGCTGACGCCAACACGGCGCGGGGCGTCGAGACCTGCGGCATCCTCTGCGGCAGGCTGGTAAGGAAACAGCCCCCTGGGCACCCCAAAAATGCCAGAAGGGCTGCCTGGCACGCTGCCACGCCTTTGGAAGGGGCTTGGTTTGTGGCCTGGATTCTTCAGCGTGCTGTCAGGCTTCCATGTGGGTGCAGGGATGGCGTGCCTCTGTCCCTTTCCTCGTTTTTGGGTTTCCCCGCCCTGAGGCCCCACTCAGCTTCTTCTCTCCCACTGGTGGCACTCCTTGTGCTTTGGGTGTCCCAGCTGGTGGCCCTCAGGCTGACAGAAACTGTTCCCCCCCCAGCCTTTGCGTGCCCAGGTTTTGCTGGCAGCTCCAGCCCATCTGCCCTGAGCCACTCCCAGAAGTTTGCTTTGAAATGGAGTTTGTTTGACGTAGCAGCTTCCTGCAGTCCAGCTGCTTCCAGACTCTGGGGATGCTTTAGGGATGAGGCATCCTCCCCTTGGAGTGGGGAGCTGGGTCTGGGGGTGTCCAGGGCTTCTCTGAGCTCCTGCAGGTGCTCTGCACAGCACGGAGAATGGAACAGGAAAAAAATCCTGGAACTCCTTTGGAAAAATCCTGGAACTCCTTGGAGCTGCACCTGCAGATGAGTGGTGGATGTAGGAATGTGCCCTCTGTTGATGGAGCAACCAAATTATCCTTTGTCTCCTTAAAAAAAGCAAAAAGCCCAGAAGTTTTTCTCCTCAATTTGGTAAAAAGACACCTCATAAAACCTTTGAGACTTCACTTTAAACTTGGGGCTGCCCAACTGGACAGAGGCCAAGAGGTCTGGCCTAGGAAATTCACTAGAAACGGAAGAGAACAAAGGAAATAATCCCTGTTCTGGGGTGTTTTAGCAGGAGCAAGAACCACTTGCCCTTAGCTCAGTTTTTCTCTGAGAACTTGTTTTAATAGAAGGCAAAATAACATTTTTCTGTTTCCAACACCACCTCAGAAGCCATCCTGCTCATTTTCCGCCATTCAAAGCAGCTGAGCTATCTCAGGTGCAATAAATCCTCTCAGAGCTCAGAGAGGGAACCATCCTCCAGGGGCTTGTCCCCAGGCCCAGGAAGGTCCCTGGCCTGGGGCTCACAGCTGCCGTGGTGGCCCTGCCTTGCAGATGAGGAACGAGTTCACCATCACCCACGTCATCGTCCCCAAGCAGCTGGGGGGCCCCGACTCCTGCACCACCGAGAGCGAGGAGGAGCTCTTTGTCATCCAGGACCAGCATGGCCTCGTCACCCTGGGCTGGATCCACGTGAGTCTCCCTGCCCTGGCACTCCCTGGCACTCCCTGCCCCAGGGGAAGGGCTGCTGGGGCAGGAGATGGCAGGGAATGGGCAGCAGCCTCTGGTTCTCCCTCTGGTACAGCCTCCTTCACTGCCCTGGGGGGGAAATCCAGGCCTGGGGAATGTTTGGGGTCCTTTCCAGAGCATCAAGCCCTTTGAGAAGGAAAGAGGAAAGGTTTAGATGAGATTCTGGGAAGAAACTTCTGTGTGAGGAAGGACAAAAGGTGTAGATGAGATACTGGGAAGAAACTCTTCCCTGAGAAGGAGGAAAGGTTTAGATGAGATACTGGGAAGAAACTTTTCCATGAGAGGAAGGAGGAGAGGTTTAGATGAGATTCTGGGAAGAAACTCTTCCCTGAGGAGGTGGGGAGCCCTGGCACAGGTTCCCAGAGCAGCTGTGGCTGCCCCTGGATCCCTGGCAGTGCCCAAGGCCAGGTTGGAGCAGCCTGGAGCAGTGAAAAATGTCTCTGCCATGGCAGGGGTGGCACTGGATGGGCTTTAAGGTCCCTCCCAACCCAGCCCATTCTGGGATTCCCTGGAAGTAGCATCTCAGCCATGAAGCTCACGTTCCCTCCAGCTAAGAGCCAGCTCTGGTGGCTCTGTGGGGACACCCCAAGCTGCTCTGCTGGAGGGACACTTGTCCCTGAGCAGCCCTGGGAGCTGTGCCAGTGCAGGCTCCTCCCGCCTGTCCCCGGGGAGCCCTTGGCAGTGGGATCCCTGCCAAGCAAAGCTGAGTAATCTCTGGAAAGCAGCAGCTGCCTGAGGGCTCGGGCAAGGAGCTGCTGCAGCTCCAGAGAGGCTGCTCCACGCAGGGAGGCTGCTGCAGGGCCACCTGTGCAGTGACAGCCCTGCAGAGGCTGGTGCTGCCAGCAAAACCCCGGGCAGGGCTGGCAGCAGGGGCTGGCTGAGCTGCCAGGGGCTGCCCAGCCCTCCAGGGAGCGTGGTGTGCCCCAGGAAGGTGATATCCCCATGGAATGGGGTGTCCCCCATGGAATGGGGTGTCCCCCAGGAAGGTGATGTCCCCATGGAAGGTGGTGTCCCCATGGAAGGTGGTGTCCCCATGGAAGGTGGGGTCCCCATGGAGTGGGGTGTCCTGCAGTGCTCTGGCACCTCGGGCTGTGCTGAGCCCCAGGAGCTGCACTCCTGCCCTGGAGGAAGGTGTGAAGTGGCCTGCAGGGACATGGTTGTGGCTTCAAGGTGTGATTTTTTTTTTTTCCATAGGATGTGGCAGGAATGTGGAGCTCCTCTTGTAGGTAACTCCCCATGGAAAAGAGGAGCACACGTTTTAGGACAATCCAAAAAAAGAAAGAGAGAATAAAAACCAAGAGAGCTGGAAGGGACTTAGGACAAGAGCAGGGAGTGTGGTAGGACAAGGGGAATGGCTTCCAGTGCCAGAGGCAGGGTTAGGAAGGAATGGGGAAGGAATTCTCCATGTGAGGGTGGGGAAGGGCTGGGATGGAATTCCCAGAGCAGCTGTGGCTGCCCCTGGATCCCTGGCAGTGCCCAAGGCCAGGCTGGGGCAGTGAAAGGTGTCCCTGCCATGGCAGGGGTGGCACTGGCTGGGCTTTGATGTCCCTCCCAACCCAAAGCATTCCACAATTCCATGAATTCCAGCCCAGCCGTGCCCCCTGTGCCCTGCAGGGCGCTGTGCCTGCTCTGCCACGAGGCTCCCTGGGCACACAGGGTGGCCTGGCAGGGTTTGCCAGCCTCTGAGTGCTGCCCTGTCCCTGGCCAGACCCACCCCACCCAGACAGCCTTCCTGTCCAGCGTGGACCTGCACACCCACTGCTCCTACCAGATGATGCTGCCCGAGTCCATCGCCATCGTGTGCTCCCCCAAGTACCAGGAGTGAGTGGGGGGGAGTGAGTGAGGGGCTCCAGGAGGGAGTGAGGGGCTCCGGGAGTGAGTGGGGGGCTCCAGGAGGGAGTGGGGGGCTCCAGGAAGGAGTGAGGGGTGCCAGGAGTGACTCTGGATCCCAGGAGTGTGGGCTGGGGAGGTTGTTCCTCTGCCTGGGCTGTCAGGCACAGCCTTCCTCCCTCAGATCCTGATGGGATTGAATGAGATTGGATGGGATGGGATCCATGGGGTCCATGGGATGGGATGGGATCAATGGGATGGGATCCAGGGGATGGGATCCAGGGGATGGGATGCAGAGGCTGGAGCTCCCTGTTCTTGCTCCAGGACAGGGTTCTTCAGGCTGACGGAGCATGGCCTGGAGGAGATCTCATCCTGCAGGCAGAAGGGGTTCCACCCCCACCCCAAAGACCCCCCTCTGTTCACAGTGAGTTCCCTGGGGCTCTGGGGAGAGTGCCTGCTGGGATGGGCTGGGCTGGGCTGGGATGGGAGGCTCAGCCTGGCCAGGGCTGCTCTCCCATTCCCAGAGAGGAGGTGCAGGAGCTTCCTGAGGTGCTGCAGGTGCTGCAGGTGTGCTGCAGAGCTGCTGGCTGCAGGAGCAGAGCGAGGCACAGCCCAGGGCTGTTTGGGGGGATCTGTGTGGGGCCTGCCATGATCCCAACCAGCAGCTGGGCTGGTGCAAGAGCTGGCTCCAGGGGCTGTTCTGGGGAAGCACAGGCTGTGCCAGGAGGTGGAGGAGATCAGCTGAGCTGTGGGAGCACCTGAGTGACCCCTGTCCCCTCTGTCCTCCCTTGCAGACCTGCAGCCACGTGTCAGTGGTGGAGAGGGACGTGGTGCTGCTGGACCTGCGATAAATAATCCTCCTGCCTTGCCCCTCTCGGGAGCACCCACCTTCCTCTAGGCCTAGGGAGTCTTTTCCCCTCCTGCAGCAGATGATTTCCACCACGCAGTGATCCTCCTCCCTCCACAGGTGCAGTCAGGTCCCTGCCCTCAGTGGGGGCCCTGCAACCTCCGTGCCTGGCTCCAGGGTGGGCAGGAGCCAGCTGGGGGCTCAGAGACAGAAGCCAACACTAAAGCAGATGTTTAACTCTAACCCACGGCCTCCTGGGGAGGTTCTTTGTGACTTGCTGCAGCCCTGAGGTGTGGAAACCTCTTCAAGTGCTTGTGGGACTTGCCCACGTTAACCCATGCCCTGTTGTGTCCCTCATTCTGGGCTCTTGGTCTCAGCAGAGCTTCCAGGAGCAGATAAACCTTTCCTGTGCTTTCAACCCAAACCTTGCTGAGCCTTCTGAGCCCCACACCAGCTCAGGGCTGCTTCCTTCTGCTCGTGTGTCTGCCTGGGGAGGGCCCAAGCTCCTTTGGGATCCCTCTGTCAGCATTTCAGGGCTGGAAACCCACCCCAGCAGTGTTTATAGGGCTGTCTGGGCACTCATCCCTTTTCCTGGCCTGGTGTTACCATGGAGGAGCTCGGTCTGGCTGCCACCAGCACTCCAGGATGGGATTCCAGCAGCTTTGGCCACTTCCATCCCACTCCAGGATGGGATTCCAGCAGCTCTGACCACCCCAATCCCACTCCAGGATGGGATTCCAGCAGCTCTGACCACCCCAATCCCACTCCATGATGAGATTTCCAGCAGCTTTGACCACTTCCATCCCACTCCAAGAGAATTTCCAGCAGCTTTGACCACTCCCACCCCATTCCAAGATGGAATTCCAGCAGCTCTGACCACCCCAATCCCATTCCAAGATGGGATTCCAGCAGCTTTGGCCACTTCCCAGCTGCCCTGGCGTCCTGTGCCCACCCAGAGCGGCAGCAAGCCCGGCCCAGGAAGCCTGGCCTTGCCCAAGCCGAGCTCAGCCCTCGAGCAGGACCCTCCTGGAGCTGCTGCCAGCGGGTGCCAAGCCCAGGCTTTCCCTTCCCGCCCTCGGTGGGAGGGAAGCAGCGGCATTCCAAGGTGGCAGCCAGCTGTGCCAGCTGTGCCAGGCGTGCCTGGGCTGGTGGGGAAGGGGAGGGAAGGGAGGGGAGGGGGCTGGAGCGGCCCTCGCAGCCGGCGTGCAGACATCCCCAGTGCGCTGCCTGGCGCACACGGATGGGATTATCCAGGTTTTTCCCCTTTCCCGGAGCTCGGCGGGGCGGGGCGGCCTCGGGGGTCGCTTCCTTTGGGGGGCCGAGCCTGCTCCAGGGAACGGGCTGGCCCCGGGCTGGGAGGGGAGGGAGAGCCTTTGGGGCATCTCTGGGAACTCGTTTTCAGCCCTAATTAATTAATGAATTCATCCTCCGTGCTCGGGAGGGGTGCAGTGCCCGTGGTGTCCAGCTCCTCACCCTGGGGAGAGCGAGGGGGAAATGGCATCTCGCAGAGCACCACCCTTCTCATCCCTGGGGATTCATGCCAGTGTCAGCTGGTCACGCTTCTGGGCTGTCCCGGTGGCTGGCAGACCTTCCCGGGGAGTTTTCCAGGAGCAGGAATTGCTCAGGTCGGGCTCTGCTCCCTGAGCTCCCGGCTCTGCCATCCCATTTCCACCCCAGCTCCCCGAATCCTCACTTCGTGTCTCAGTGAATGCCGATATCCGACCCTGCTGCCCAGCCTGGCTCTCCAGCTGTGCCAGCTGTGCCCGCCGCACCTTAAACCCACCCAGAGCGGGTTAGGGAGGAGCTGGGCCCGGCGATGAGCCACGCTCAGGAGCGATTTATCCCCTGAGCTCGGGGGCATCCCGCCGGCAGGGAGCGACGGGCGATGCGATGCTCCCCCGAGCGCAGGGAACTCATCCCGATCTCTCTTTTCACGCCTTTCCCGTCCTCGGCAGCATCCCCGGGGTGAACACCACCCCCGGTGTCGGTGCCGGGGCCGGGGCCGGTGCCGGGGCCGGTGCCGGGGCCGGGGCCGGGGATGCCTGGCGTTCGTTCACGCCTTTCCCGTCCTCGGGAACACCACCCCCGGTGCCGGTGCCGGTGTCGGGGCCGGGGCCGGGACCGGTGCCGGTGCCGGGGCCGGGGCCGGGGATGCCTGGCGTTCCTGCGAGCATCCCGGGCCCGCTGGATTGGCTGCGGGGGCCAAACTTTGCCTTTTTAGGCTGCGCCTGGCTCCGGCTCGGGGCTGCTGTGCTCGGGGATGCCCCGGGGCTGAGAGCTGGGGCTGCTCGGGGCTCTCGGGCTTCGGGGGGTCCTGCCTGCACACGGGGGTCTCCGGCTGCTGCCTCCATCACCCCCTCTGCCCTCCCTGCTCTGCGGCTTTGGGGTGTCATTCAGTGTAATTTGTGATTCAGTTTAATTTGTGATTCAGTTTAATTTGTGATTCAGTTTAATTTGTGATTAATTTCAATTTGTGATTAATTTTAAAGGGTTTTTTGCGTGCCGTCTCTGGCAGCCTCTCCCCTCCCTGACCTCCTGTCAGCCGGGCTGCAGGTGAGGTGGCAGCAGGACCCCGGGGCTGGGGGGACACCAGGGGCAGGGCAGGGGACACATCTGAGCTGCTGCACGGGGACAGGGACCTGGCAGAGCCAGCCCTGGGGACACGGGGCTGTGAATGGAGTGCCAGTGCTGGGGACACACCGAGCCCCTGTCCTGCCCCACGGACCCTCTGGAACCATGGTGGGGACACCAGGACCTTTGTGTGCCGTGCCTGTGGTGGCACCCACAGCTCCTGGTCACTGCTCCAGTGCTGGCATGTCCCCGCCCCGGGCACGGCTGGGGAGCAGCTGGGCCCGCCGTGCCTCAGTTTCCCTGGAGCCCTCCCTGGCTCCGGGAGGCTCCTGGTCGGGGCCCGTTGTCCTTAAAAAGGCAGCCGGGAGTTCGGGAGCCTCTGGTTGGCCTCTGCCCGGGGACAGCTCCCACCTGGGGGGGTCTGAGCCGACCCGCCCCAAATCCCCCCGGGAGGGGTCAGAGCCCGGCTCCCCTCAGTGCGGGATCGGGATTTGGACCCACAGCCTGCCTCAGGCCGGGGATTTGGGGCTTTGGGACAGCAAAAGCCCAAAAATGGGGGCGGAGAGAGAAGAGCACGGGGAGAGGCATCCCAGGAGCGCCGGGGGGGCGAGGCCGGGAGGAGCCGGGGTGTCCCCAGAGCCCCCAGGGCACCTCCACCCCGCCGGGCTGGCTTCTCCCGGGACCCGGAGGTGCTTCCACTCCTTCTTCGCAGCCCGTCGCTTATAAGGACTTGTGTCTCGCTTGTTTATCGCAGCGCAGCATAAAAGGAACGCGCTCCCGCCGCCTCCCAAGCATCCCTACCATACATTTCCCTACAATAATTAACCCTGCCGGGTCCTGCCACCGGCCCGAGGTCAATTTAATGAAATAAAACACCTTATATGGCCATATGGCCGACGCACCATCCCTGAGCCTATTTAGGGTCTTTGTTTAGAGCGGATCCGCCTCTGAGGTTCCTGGGGCTCGCTGGTATTTATACCCACGCTGCCCGGGGCTCGCTCCCAGAGGAAAGGAGCTCCCTCGCCTCCGTGGTGAGTACTGCCCTGCGCTGCTTCCCTTCTTCCTCGGAGGGCAGCGAGCAGCAAAAACACCCCGGGGGGTTTTTTGGGGTGCCTCAGCTTTTACGGCGTGCCCCCAGCTGGGTTTTGTGGCACGGAGGGGGTGCCAAGCTGGGCACGACCCCGCAGCCGGGGGCCTCGCTGGGCTGAGGCCAGAGCAGGTGGTGCTCTCGCACAAATCTCCGTGGTTTTGGGGTTTTTTTGGCTTTTTGGGCTCCTGCGAGGTTTTGCCCGTTTCCCTCCGGATCGGGGAGCTCCCCCTCTGGCACCGGGGGCACCCCCTGGGAAGGGCAGCTTTTTTGGGAGCGGATGCGAGGTCAGGGCAGCAAAAAGCTGCCGAGACAGAAGATGAGTGAGCTCACCTGGCACCCCCTGCCCGCTTTGGGGGGCACCGCCCGGGCACGGCAGCACCGCAGCTCCAGGGGAGGTTTCAGCACCGATTTTGGCCAAGAAGAGGCTGCAGGAGGATGGAGCAGCACCCGGCATGGAGCAGCACCCGCGGGCACGAGCATCACCACGCGGGGCCGGCCCACGGAGGATTTTACAGCGCTGCCCACCCGCGGACTCGACACCTCCGAGCCCAAATCCGGCGGCGCTGGCGCGGCACGAGCCCCGTGCCAGCCTCCGTAACGCCCCTCTCCCCCCCGGGCAGCTTTTCCCCCAGGTCCCCCCAGCACCGAGCGCTGCCGCCCCGCCATGTGCGACGAGGAGACCACGGCCCTGGTGTGCGACAACGGCTCCGGCCTCTGCAAGGCCGGCTTCGCCGGCGACGATGCCCCCCGCGCCGTCTTCCCCTCCATCGTGGGCCGGCCCCGGCACCAGGTGGGTACCGGGGGGCCCGGCAGCCCCCAGCCCGAGCTGCTCCCAGGCTAACGAGGCCTCTCCCCCCGTCAGGGCGTCATGGTGGGCATGGGGCAGAAGGACAGCTACGTGGGCGACGAGGCGCAGAGCAAGAGGGGCATCCTCACGCTCAAGTACCCCATCGAGCACGGCATCATCACCAACTGGGATGACATGGAGAAGGTGAGGCCCCGGCGGGGCGGGGAGGGGGGCGAGCCCGGCCTGAGGTTTGGGGTGACGGCCCCCTGCTTCTCTGCCCGCCTCAGATCTGGCACCACTCCTTCTACAACGAGCTGCGTGTGGCCCCCGAGGAGCACCCCACCCTGCTCACCGAGGCTCCCCTCAACCCCAAGGCCAACCGCGAGAAGATGACCCAGGTAGGGCCCTGGGGAGGAGCCCTGGCTGGGGCTGGACCCTCCAACACTGCAAGGTTGAAGGTGGAAGGTGGAAGGTTGAAGGGCTGGCGGGGGGATGTGGGGGTTTTGAGGGTGCAGGATAAGGGCAGAGATCCCAGAGGGAAGTTCCTGTGCCTGCTGGCCCCGGGGGTCTCTTGGCACACGTGGACCTGCAGGATTTGCCCCACCATGTGCTCCCCACTCTGTGCCTCTGTGCACTGTGGTGACCCACGTTTCCATGCCAACCCCTGACCCTCGTGCTCCCCACTCCTTGCACGGCCCCACGTGGCTCTGTGCGCTGCCATCACCCACATTTCCACCTCTTGGCCCACGTTCTCCCACGACCCACATGGTTCCCTGTCCTCCTGTGTCCCATAATTCTAGCATCTACCCATTCCTCCCTGCCCCAAACTCCACCATCCACCATTCCTCCCTGCCCCACAACCACCCCCTGTTCCTCCACGCCATGCCCTGACCCCAGGAAGGCACGGGGCTGGGGTGGGGGCACGCTGGTGACCCCCTGCCCCTCTCCTCTCCCCTCCAGATCATGTTTGAAACCTTCAACGTCCCCGCCATGTACGTCGCCATCCAAGCCGTGCTCTCCCTCTACGCCTCCGGCCGCACCACCGGTGAGCGGGGGACCTGGGTGACCCTGGGTGACCCTGGGTGACCGCGGGTGACAGGGACCGGCCTGGAGCGTCCCCCTCACCTCTCCCTGCCCCAGGCATCGTCCTGGACTCCGGCGACGGCGTCACCCACAACGTGCCCATCTACGAGGGCTACGCGCTGCCCCACGCCATCATGCGCCTGGACCTGGCGGGCCGCGACCTCACCGACTACCTCATGAAGATCCTCACCGAGAGGGGCTACTCCTTCGTCACCACCGGTAGGGCGCGGGGAGGGGGGCGTGGGCACGGGGACGCCGCGCCGGCGCCGCGCTGGCACCGCGCTGAGGCGAGGCTGCCCCGCAGCCGAGCGCGAGATCGTGCGCGACATCAAGGAGAAGCTGTGCTACGTGGCGCTGGACTTCGAGAACGAGATGGCCACGGCCGCCTCCTCCTCCTCGCTGGAGAAGAGCTACGAGCTGCCCGACGGGCAGGTCATCACCATCGGCAACGAGCGCTTCCGGTGTCCCGAGGCGCTTTTCCAGCCTTCCTTCCTGGGTAGGTGTGGGGTGGGGCTGCACAGGGAGGGAGGGGCCTTAAGTGGCATTAATCAGGTTAATGTGGCGTTAATAAACTCTGCCTTCTTCCTTTAGGCATGGAGTCCTGCGGCATCCACGAGACCACCTTCAACTCCATCATGAAGTGCGACGTGGACATCAGGAAGGACCTGTATGCCAACACGGTGCTGTCGGGTGGCACCACCATGTACCCGGGCATCGCCGACCGCATGCAGAAGGAGATCACAGCCCTGGCGCCCAGCACCATGAAGATCAAGGTGGGCAGAGCTCCGTGGGGAGGGCGGGGTGGGCACGGGGGGCTGGAGCAGCTCTGACCCTGCTTTCTCTCCTCTCTCTGAGCAGATCATCGCCCCGCCCGAGCGCAAGTACTCCGTGTGGATCGGCGGCTCCATCCTGGCCTCGCTCTCCACCTTCCAGCAGATGTGGATCAGCAAGCAGGAGTACGACGAGTCCGGCCCCTCCATCGTGCACCGTAAATGCTTCTGAACGGACTGCGGGCCCCGCAGCCGCCCCGCGCCCGGCAGCTGTGCCCAGGCATCCACACACCTCATGCCAGCCTCCTGCAACTGGAATACGCCTTCTTCCAAAAGAACCCTGCCCTTGGGAAGTCTGTACCTGATGTTAGACACGCGGATGGGCACGCTGCCACTTGGTTTGACCCTGTTGTAGCCGAGCTAGGCGGGCCCTGAGCTCGTACCCTGTACGGATCGGCTCCCGGGGCTGCCCCCTCCCGGGGCTCCCCCGCAGGCCCCGCACTGACACGGCCCCGGGCCCGCTCTGTACAGGGTATTTGGAGCCAGGCGTTGCCGTACATCCCGTGTGGAATATTCCAGGTTTCCTGTAGAGGCTGGTAGGAGTCCATCGAGAATTTTTTTTTCACCGTTTCTAGCAAGGTTGGGAAAAAAAAAATACAAAACATATCGCATCCGAGCCTTACACCCCTCCTCATCCTCCTCCTCCTCCCCTGATCCACCACGGGGCTCGAGTTCCTCAACCCCGAGTTGCTGAAACTCTGCATTTACACCTGTAAATTTCTGCATTGTTTTAATTTATGTCAGATAATTTTTTTCTTTAGTTTTTCTTTTTTTTTTTTTT